GGGTGAACGTAGTCCTGAATAGGACTGTTGTCGTTGACAGTGACTGGAGTTTTGACAACCTGTGCGGTAGTCATCTTCAAAGTGAGTGAAAGTGAATTGTGTTACGTCAGTTGATGGTATTATACTCTGGTTATTGACCTGGTTGGACAATGACGTCTCAATGTTATTAGCCATGGTCGTCTGTCAGTTAAGCCGTGGTGTCATCAGCTATGGAGACTCGTATTGTAATTGGTGCGTTTCGATCCGTCTATTGGCACAGTTAAACATTCCTTAGATTTCTTGATTTTGTCAATAAGCCGTTTGTACGGTGCCGGTAACTGTTGGTTAGGATTCCGTGGCATATTAAGAATGCTGGTTCAACAGACATATTTTTGAAAAATAAAACACAAATGAAAACAATGTTTGTCTTTAGGGGGGCCTTTTTAAATAGATAACGTGTGGCTATTTTAAACGGATAACGTGACTGCAGAGTTTTGTTGTACCGTTTGGCAGATGTTATCGAGTTGCAATCAGTTGATCGGTAGTTCTGACTTCGGAAAATTTGATTGGCGCCTATATTAAACCTGTCACTGAGATGCTTCACCAGCATGATGTTGTAGGTTGATGTGTTTGTAGAAGTTATATTCGGCCTTATTAAAGCATTTTAAAATCCGTCCATTACATCAATGTATCTTTTCCTAATCCATTTCTTTCTGGTTTCTAGCTTTTCGTGAGATTTCTAATATGTCTTTCATCATCATCTTCAGCAGTAGCATCACCACCACCACCACAATCATCGTCATCATCATTATTATTGTTTCTTATGCATACATTTTTTCCACTAAGGGCCTGTTTACATGGAGGTGGGCGACCCCAAGTAGGTGAGGTAACACGGTTAGATGGGGGTAATCCACCTGTCCGTATAATTTCTTATTTCAATTTGACGACGTTTACATGGTAGGGAGGATGACCCGCCAGGGTAACGCCCCAGACGGGGTGGAATTTTGTCATGTAAACGTTTCCAGATGGGATAACTCACCTAGCCAGGGAAGTATGCGTGATACATCAAATTCGCGCTAAATTCACTTAGGCGGTGGCTTAACTTTACATCATTATTGAAGGTAACGATAGAAAGCCATAGCACTGAAGGTTGCAGTAATAGCAGCAAGTGAGTGTAGAAGAGCATTAATTGCCAAAACACTTGGTTTGCCAGCATTTCTTGTTTACGTGCTTAACGACTATTCAATACCCGTGCGAAAGTGCACCCTGGGATAGCGGGGGTTGTAAGGTTGTATGTAAAGGAGAGGTTTACCCCACCTACGCGGGTTGCGTCATCCACCTAGCTAAGGTCTCCCACCTCAATGTAAGAGGGCCCTTAAAACCGAAAAAAGAAATGCAAGTACAGAAGCTTATACGAATGAACGCTTTTCTAAAGAGAAAATATCATAAAAGGACTAACCTGTATTGCTAATGACAAAGGATTGTCACTTCTCATCAGAGTCTTTGCTGTAATTCTTCCGTGAACCTTGTCATATGTTTCCAGTTCTATCATATCCAGGAGGGCCGCTTCGCTCTTCGGTTCTGGATAAATAGTATCATAATAAAGAAAGATACTGTTAAACCTCTACCAGCAGCCAATAACAACAGCAACGAGCCTTTTTGTTTGGTGTCCCGGCAGGGCGGCCTGGCAGTCACAAATAACCTCTTTATATAACGTGCTCCCATATAGTAAACATCCGGGAACAAAAAATAAGTTTCTTTACCCACTTTCAGTGAAATGTATCGAGTAGGATATAACGTAGCCTTGTATTACGACCATTTCTTTTTCAGTCCCCTAACACTTTGTTACATCGGTGATCCACTCGGGAAAACCTTGCCTGAGAAAACAGTAAATTTTTCGCGACGCCCCCACTGGTGTCCTTGCAAAACACCGCCTGAGATACTAACGAGCCAATAACACTCTTCTTCTTCTTCAGCAAAGCGATCGCATAGATTGTTCAGTGCCCTCTGTGACTGATGTTATTGTCTGTGAAGATCCGGCTCGGCGTAAATTAAAAGCCATCAAACAAAATAAATCTGCAGGTCTAGATGACATTCCAACTAAATTATTAAAACTACCTGAGCCTGCCATTGTCTCTTCCCAGACTGGTCTATTCTCGTTCTGTGCTCACCTCGGAGAAACTTAAGCGCCCTATGCTATTGATGAAAAAACCTCACATCGGGTCGCTAAATTCTGTGACCATTGGAGAGGATTGGAACGAGTGAGTGAAACACATAACCATTCATCTGCCTCCCCCCTTTTTTCCCAAATCATGGACCCTTTCCCCAGTATTTGCAGCAGTCCTGGCTACCTCTAAGCAATGATCATTCCCTTACTGCAAGCTGTTTTTGTAATTATTTTTCTTTCCCTTCCTTCTTGCGATAAAAAGAAAATGTATGCATACTGGCAATTACTTACATCTTCTCAAAAATTGTACCATTTTTACTTCTCCCTGCTTTATAATAAATGCACGTGAATTCTATATCCTACAGTCATTTGATATACTATAGACGTGTGGCAGTTAGAGTTGCACCTTCTTAATTTTTGCACCAGGCACTGTGATCTTTTGGGTGTGTGTCAAACTCATTGAAAAAACACAGAACACAGAGTTACACAAATACATTAGTGCTCTTTGTATAGATGAGCTTATTCTTTTCTTCATAACAATTAAATGACAAAAATTATTATTGTTTTGTATTTATTCTCAGCTCATTAATGATGTCCTGATGAACCAGAATTCAACACATGAAATTGGTACTGTCAAAAACAACCCTGATGCATATGAGGAGTTCTTTGTGTCAGTTGGAAGCTGAGGGCTTACTTAGTGGAAGCTTTCCTAGAATTCTTTGGTTGGAAAACACTGAAAGTGAGCCAACAAAAAAATTGCCTGAACAAAATGCAAGCTTGGAGGCAAAGAATGAACACTTTGATAAGGTGCTTGGGAAGTTTGTTGACTGCCATGTTTTCCACTTGGGAGTGACAGTCAATGACAAAGTCCAGAGAGAGGCCATAATTATTATGGCCTCTCTTTGATTGAACTCTTCATAGTTCTAATATGCAACTGAATGACAAAATTCATGAAAGGGATGGAGATAGAAATGTTATTAATTGAAAATACGTTTTAGGGGTTTTCAAAGACAATAACAAATTTTCAAAGTATACAATTGAAGCAGTGTACTTCCTAACTTCAGTAAAGTGCATGCTGACCCACCAGGTGTCCGAACGTGTGATTTGGGGAAGAGGGACGAACGAAAAAGGGAAAATTGGAGTCAACATGAAAAATGATTTAGAAATGGAGCATACCATCAAGAGCATAAAAAATCTGATAACTTCAAAGGGGGCAAATAAGACTGAGAAGGCTGTGCTTCGTAGCTCAATGGCAGTCACTGGAGTCAGTGAATCCCTGCATGCTTATGATGAGAGTTCAAATGTCAATTAAGCCACTGTCAACTGCTCACAATGAAAAAAGTGCTGATAGAGATGAAGGCATTATGCTGGGGGATCTGAGGTTGCTAAGGCCATTCAAATGTGACCCAATGCATGAGCCTTATCCTTCATTCCCTGATATGCTGAAGAGTGTGAGAGAGAAGATTGACTTGGGTGAATTCTTGCATTGGCTTGAAAATCACAAGAGACAGCTTGCAAGAGGTCAATCTGTAGTTCCTGAAAATAAAGAATCTGAATCGTCTGATGCAGATGACTAAGTAAAGTACACATGTTATGACAAAAGTGGAATTTTTTCCCCATTTACTGTGTTAAAAGGAGGAACTTTAAAATGAAATTCAGTTCAGTTCAGTTTATAGTTTTGCCATAAGGATGTACAAAAAACAAGAAAATGTAAGTGTTTAAAGCTAATGGTGAGGAGGCCCAAGGGAAGCCACTTAACTTAAAAGGAATGGGTTCCCTCAGTTGAATTATCACAACAAAATATTCTCAGAATTATTTGTGGTACCTAATGCTTTGAAGATTTTCTTAAGGAGGATTTTAAGCCTATTTGGATGTGACATTATGATCTGTACATTTTTTTCTGCATGTTCTTTTCTCCAAACCGGTAGTTTTTCCAGAATTCTGTCAAGAGAACAGAGTTCCTGAAGTGTTGAACAAACATCAATTACTTTCATTGTTCATCCTGAACACATACTTAAATTCAAATAGTTATCACTGGCCTCAATTTCTTCTTTATATTTTATAAGCTCTGATTTTATCTCTTCCACCTGTTTTCCAGAAAGAAGAACTTCGTTATCAGGGATGTGAATGTTTTCAAGGGCCAAGACATCTTGATGTAGCTCAATTAATTCAGACCGCTCACAGTGAGTTTGACATATCAAGTGTTACAGCAGCTGTGTTTGTCTCGAGGACTTGGAATGCCAAAACCAAAGTGGCTAGGCACAATTATTATTCTGGAGACATTTTGAGGGTTTTTACAGTAATCTCTCATAATAGGTTGCATTCCTTCAACCTTTGCACCAATATCATGGTTGCTGAAGTAAAGAGTTGATGCAGCAGGTCTCCCATTTCTTCCAGCTCTCCCACTTTCTTGAAAAAAACTCTCCATAGTTCGGGGACACCAAAATGAATTATCTTTTCAACACAAGGAGAGTTTACCCCCATGCCAAATGCCACTGTAGCAAATATTACTCTCTGTTTCCATGATTCTGAAACATTGCTGCTAATAAGTTCAAATTGTTTCATTTTATCTGCTGTGGCAAGTGAAATTGAGCAAAAAGCCTGTTTTTAGGAATTTGGGGAGCCCCAATAGGGTAGAACTGGTGATCCCCAAGCTTTCTCTCCAAACAGGCATACCCAACTCCACACATTTCTAATGATGAATAAATAATAGTGACAGGCATTTTAACATTGGCAATAATGAGTTCATCTACTATGGGTGAAAGAATTTCTTCAAACTGGTTGTTACTTTCTTTAAGATAGGATGGCCTTTGCTGTACTTCATAAACAATGTTAGGCCTGTCAGGATTTGCAATTACAAGTTTGGATCTTTCATGTTCAGACTTTTCATAATGCTTGTTTGATATTCCTTTGTCGCTGTTGCTGTCATGGCAACAATCTTAGCTGTGGGGAATACCGAGGAAAGTGTTCCTAGTTTTCTGTAGTCTTCTCTAAAGTTGTGCCCCCTAAACAATGAAACACAAAGTAAAAATGCTGTATTGATACACAAATGCTGTTATACTTGCCACTAGAATAAGAGAATTTGGCCACAAGAATTATCGATAATGAGTACATGAAAGGGGACTTTCAAGTAAGTTAAGCTGTTATAGTAGGGTAGAATTAAGAAGAAAAAGGCTGCTGGCAATAACTTTGTTATTAGTAACAATATGGCCATATTATACACTTAATGTCAGATCCTGAGGGAAACAGTGAGTCTTGTTTTCCCAAGAGTCCTGATGTTTCCCGCGACGAAGTCGCGGGAAACATCAGGACTCGAGGGAAAACAAAACTAACTGGTTTCCTCAGGGACCTGACATTAAGTGTTTTGTTATATTTCTAGACTTTCACTTCAACAGCAACAAAAGAATAACCGGAGCGAAGCAAAACAGTCGACTTTGTACTTATAACAACACACCTTTAATTCTTGAAACCACTGAATGAATGATTTACAAAGTACCTTCCTTATATTATCTGCATCATTTTCTTCCACTAGCTGCTGTTTTTCTTCTGGGAACTTCTTGGATAAGTTTAAAAATCGTTGCTTTTTAGCTTGAGGCTTCATGTTTGGTGTTGTTGTGTTCATTCGAGAAAAAGAAAACTGGTAGGACCTGGCAGTGTTTTTCCCACCTTTTGTCATATGCCACTTTCCATGCTTTGATCACGTGCTGCAATGTCGCCCGAGCGGGGTACATTGCTTAATGTATCACGATCGGGATACATTTGATTTTAGTCAAGGCCACATGACCAAGAATCAACCAATGGCAGTCCCTGTTTAGTTGAGTGAAAGTCCTGGAATATACCCTTTAAGCCCCAGTGATAAAATTTCCCTTAACTGCTATTAGGTGTACATTTTTCGTAGTAGCACTATACAGAGGTTGCTGAAATATCAAGAAGCTTAGCCACTGGTAATCTCTTGACCTCTGCTTGATTGGAGGTCGTTATTGGGGCTTAAAGGTTCAAGTTTCACTTTTCTGTTGTTATGTGATGTAACTGAAAATAGTTTGTTTAGCCTGCTTAACATTAATAAAATAATATTTATCACATTACATTCATGCAAATATTAATGCAAGCTGCTCAAGGTCAGCAAACTGGCACCATCCAGGAATTTAGCATCTCTAAGAGTGACATATTTTTTAAAGTTTTGGACAACAAATTATTTTAGAATTCCCAGTCGTATTGTTTTGAACATAATTTTTACTTTAAATTGCTACCAGCTTTCTGTGATGGACTTAGGTCATTAATTTACAGTTAGATTATACTGTGTTTCAAACATTCACTGTAGCTGTCAAACAACATGGTGATGGAATACTTAGGGAAGTTAGAGATTCATACTAGTGTGAAAGGAGGACACACAGTTGGGCTAAAAATGAATGACATTCAATTTGAACTGGCCAAAGATATCCACTGGAAAACAAATGGTGAAGATAAGTATCGAGTTGCTACTTAAATGAACCCAAACAGTCATTTGTACCTTCTAAAGACTTCTTTTACTTGTGTGCTTTGTTGCCTTAATATAAGTCATTTGATAATACTTGGAGAACAGCACTGTTTCTATCAAATTTTGACTCATTCAGATGTACATGAAATTTAAGAAAACATATCCCATGATACCTCTTGAGAGCATCAAAATTTTACACATTGAGAAAAGAAAGTCTACAAGCATAGCAGGTCTATGACTATTAGTTTTTTGGTGATCTGATCAAGGCACCCATCAGAAGCAATTGAAATACCAAGATAGCTGCTTTTGGACATAATGAAACCTTTTTATTTAGTTGATCTTGCATGTACATTGCATAAGGCAATAAATATTATTACTGCAATGCTAAGAATAGAAACAGCTCATTGTGTCCTTGCAAAGTAAATACAGGTGATAACGTTTGAGTTTCATTGTATAGTTCAAATTTTGGAGTCTGGATTCCGGTGTGAGAACATTGAAATCATAAACTTTGTGAAATCTTCATAAAGCAGCACCTAGGGTTGACTGACTTCAAAACTAACTTTATGCTTATAACCTTAAAAGTATTAACAACATGATGAAACAGAGAAAAACAACAACAAAAAGTAATGATAATCATAATTTACCACTCAATGATGCAATGTGCTTCATCAACCACCACAGCCCTAACATTTCTCTGGTAGTAAGCAGACAAAAAAAGGTCTCTACATTGCCTGTTGCTTACTGTTACCTCGGGGTGTGTAAAAATTCAAACTTTCCAGCTTGAAGGTCTTCAGCTCTCGGTATATGAGGAACAACCCGAATTTTTTCTTCAAATGCGCCATCGACCTCGTCACCACAAACACGCAATTCTGTACAATTGACACCAGCTGATTTAAGTTTATTTATTTGGTCATCAATTAAGGCATTCAAAGGAGAAACAACAAGGACAATTGACTTGTCCTTCGATGAAAGGTTCCTTGCAGTAATTTTATCAAACAGTGATGGTAGCATTTGGTAGATCAACGACTTTCCGTAGCCAGTTGAAAAAAACAATCGACTGTAGTGCTTCTTTTTGTCTAGGCTTCAGTGTAACTTTCCTTGACCTCTACTTCGAAGAACATCTTCAAGAACACTGTCCAAATCCATGTTTTTCTGATGTTTCCCGAACAGTCAGAATGAACATGCGCAGTTATAGCAAGGCCCGTATATCGGGCCTCGCTGCTACTGAGCATGATCAAAATCAATAAATCAAAATCAAAAACTTAATAGCGTGTTTATGGGTGAGGCACCTGCGGCTCTTTCACACTAGACAAACAAACCTTGTACTGTGTACGACCTTCAGAAGGAGTAATATCATAATCGTCCCGCGTTTTAACTCGCAGTTTCTTAAAAACTCTGTTAGTTATAGAGGAGCTATTCTTTGGAACGTTGTCTCGTCTCGTCGTCACATGCACTACCGAGATTTCAAATGTTTCTCACTATTTTTTTATGTTTTAAATGCCGTAGTCATTTTACTTAGAGTTAACTAATGTAAATTCATTTTAAGTTCATATTTTTAGAGTTTTTATAATTGTAGTTGTATTTTGCAAAAGTTATCCCTATTTTAATATAGTTCTATATTCATTTGTAATTATTTTACACGACCCCACAAGCTTTGAGCTTCAAATCTTATCGTGTTCAGGATATGTGTGTATGTACGCAGAAATACCATACTGATGACGTGACACTACCAATATTTGGATGGTGATTCAGATTGGTGGAGGCAATATATTATTCTATCTTGGATGAACAGAATTTTCGGCCAGTCAGAAGCACTATCCAGATTTGGGTAGTGATGCGTCACCAGCATGGAACTCCTGCGCTCCTTTTTTTCAGACGTTATTTTGCAGGGAAACCAGTGATTGCGTCGCGAAATGTCGGCTGTTTTCTCAAGCTAGGGAACACCCGGTGTGCCAGATTCTTGGAAGATCATCTAACAGAATGTTGCTCATCCAATCAAAAGACAGCCTAGTTGATTAGTGAAGGTTAATATAACGCCACCGGGAAACAACTCACGTAAGGCGTTGTAATAATACAGATAACAACAAAATGTTGCTCGTCACATTAAGACCTTAAAACCTACCATCAGTCTTCTGAGGAACGTCCGAATCACTGTCAACAAGGATTCCCACAGCATTGGACCTGCCACAAAAAAAGGCCAAAAAAATGTATTAGGACAAGAAAAAAATGTTTCTTGTCTGGAATTCTACAAAACACGTAGAGTGGGCGGGCTATTTCTAATTCTTTTAAAAAAATATGCTGAAGTTCTTCGCTCAAATTGTCATAAATAAAACTCCAAATGTTGAATGCTTAAATACAACTTTGTTTTACATAAACATTGAATCATGTTTAAAGCAAGGTTATGCGTCAAACGATAGGCCTTATTATATGTAGGCAGGGTGTATTAAATACGTCAATTTAGAAACCGGTATTTAATAAATGCCGCATTTTATGAAAAGTAACGCTCAGAATTGTAGTATAATTGGTGCACAGCAAAATCGAGGTGTTATGGTAACACCAAAAAAGTGTAAATTTTTGCAGCTGTGTGAACACCAAATAGGTGTTCAGTTAACACTACTGTCGTGTATATTTACACCAAAATGGTGTAAATATGACCTACATACGATCCTGAATGCGTTTAAAAACACCTTTGCAGTGTTACAGCAACACTGACCTGGTGTATATTTTCTCTATATTGGTGTTTAGTAACACCAAAATTGGGTTAACGTAAACCAATTTTGGTGTTAAAATACACCAAAAATATGTCTCCTTTACACTGTTCTGGTGTTTTTGTTACACTAAAAAAGGGTAATGATGACACTGAATATGTGTAAAACCCATTGCAGCTGTGTGCACACCAAAGTCAGGTAAATTTACACTACTGGGAATTTTACGCTGTATTAGTGTAGATCAACACTTCCAATTGTGTTATAACACACCGTTTGAGTGCTGAGCCAACACTATTTGTAACTCATGAAGAAGTCTTAAAAGTAGACAAAGTAACAGCTACGACAACAACCTGTAAATTTACTCCCATTTAATTGCTTTACCCTGATAGTAATAAAAACTTTGTTCTCTTCAGAATTCAGTAAAACAGCATGAATTAAAACAAGTGTTGAAAACTAAGAGGACTGTACACCGTAGGTCTTTCTTTTCTAAGACTTTTTATAGGGAGGTTTATACGACAATGACGGCGACGAAAATGTTACGAAAAAAGCAATAGATTTATATTAGCACAACAACATCTTTGCACGTGCATCACATATTTTTGCTTATTTTCTTGCCGTTGTTGCACGACTACGACATTTAACTATACCTAATTTCACCAGTTTTGCGGAGGATGAGAGCACACTGCATGAGAGAACGATTTTCTCATGCAACCTTTTTTTAAAAATTCGAATATTAATATAGTCCTTTACAGAACTACAGAAGCCGGAGAGATGAAATTTGAAACAACGTGGATCTACTTTTTAAGAGACGTTTTTGCCACCGTCGTTGTCGTCGTTCGGCTTAGCTATTGATGTGAAAGGCAGATTACACAACAAGTCGGGCAGATTTAATTTTAGTTTGCTTTAATTACGAGCTCAGAACTGATTCAGTTCATTCATGAGCTGTAATACCTTAGTCGGTATAGTTTAACATTGTCCATTCAAAACTTCTCTCTGGGACAAATGAATATGAGTGTCTGCATTCTTCCGGATATTCTATATTACACACAACATATATTAGAGTGAGCAAGGCGCTGGTATGTCCTCCATTAACCTTTAGAGGGAGATTCCTTTCCCCACTCAGGTATATATCATCTGGGGCTTGCAGTTGCCCCTCAAAGATGATGAAGGGCGTCATTCCCTCCTTGCTGTTCTCGGCAACTTTCTTTGCATCAACACCATTCTATAAAGAGGAAAAAAGAGGCAAAAGAACACTTTCAATAAATGTGTTTTCTCAACTGCAGCATAATAAAAGTCAATAAATATTGAAATGGAAAGTTTTGTATGTTCATCCAATTCTTCAGATGGACCGAACCTATTTATATGCACGTTGGGTATGTTTTTGAATCGCGTTTCTCATTTTTGGCATCCTTAATAAAGAATAGTGCAAATTTAAGAAAATGTTGTTTATTTTTGTGTAGGTTTAACACTGTTTGAGATATCAGCTTATGTTTAAAACCGAATTTTTACAAAAACTGTCAAAAAATCATAGAAATTGGTTGAATGGTTCCTGCCGAAAAACGAATTAGGATTGTAGTACAAGCATGAAAGGTTTGGCCTGATTAAATGAGGAAATAATGTTTGCCTCCTGCTCAACTTCTGTTTGCGAGACTCCTTCACTGAATTGTTTCACTGCAACAGGCATTTCTCGATAAAAGGCAAGTCCAGTGTAACTTTTCCAATCTTTCCTTCCCAAAGGGTTATTAAGTTTTTGGAATCACTGTCCATATTCACATGTACTTTCTGTTCCCGTGGAATCTCTAGGAATGAGTTTGTTACTGCCACAGCACTATCTGAAGAATTGATTGACTTATATGTTTTATTTTTCATCTGCAAATGAAGCAATCTTTTTTTTTCACGTTCTGTTTGACGCCACAGTAGGTGAAACTTCTCTTGATTTTTTTTTTGACAAAAGACAGTTTTTCTTCGGTTGTCTGTATTTTCTTTTTTTTCTTGAACTAGCTCTTCATGAGCGTTTTTCTTTATTTGTTTTATTTCAAGCCTTTTTCATTTATTTCGAGCTAGTCTCTGACGCCTTTTTGCCTCATCAGATCTTTTCCAACTAAAAAAAAATACCGCAAATAATAAAAATTTGTTCAAAGGGGGTGGAAGCATTACTGTGAGTGTATTTCCTTTTTCTTAGTCTCTCTTCCGTCCTTTCTTTCTTTTTTGTTTTTCTATCCTTCTTAAGTTTTTCTGATAATTTTAGATAACTATAATTATTACCAGCTATCAATTCATCATGTTCCAAGTAATGAGCGGGCTGGCCTCTCAACTTTGGAGCTAGTTAAAAGCGGAAAATCCAACTTTACATAGCTATGGAAACCCACAACATGATGAATTGAAAGATAAAGGTAAGTTGTTTGGGAATATATATAATTGAGAACCTTACAGACATATTTTAATAACACTTTTTGCAGCCTCGAATATTGTATCACTGAACAGAGCTTTACAGTTTTTGGTCTCAGGCACTTTTATCGAAAAAGACAGTATTGAAGTATCATTGGTAAAATGAATAGGATGGCTGAAAATAATATTTTTCATTACAGATATCTCTTGTGAATGATTGAAAATGTTTATACGTTCTTTTACATTGTATATGGACAGCACACATTGGCAAATTGTTTAGGTGTAACATGAAATAGGTAATGATGTGTTTAGAATTTGCTTACTAATCCAAAACCTCGTTCCCAGGATTCTCCTTTAACCGCTCCGTATTGGTTGACTAATGCATTGTAACTGAGTCTTCTTTCTTCCACTGAACCTAACTCCCCACCCACCCTACCTAAGAAATATGTCAGTATTAACTTTTCTATGTTGCAAGCTTCTGATTGCTAGTAAATTCTTTATATAATATTGTCACTTTTGTTATAGTTTGGATTTTCCATAATTGACCGGATTGTAGGAAAAAAAGCTTACAATATAGGACCACATGGACAAAATTTGCAAATCCCTCCCCTTCTACTCCCCTAGCCGTTTTCATATAAAATGAAATGATGTTTGTGACAGTCACTGGCCCTTTGGAAGTGTAAATAGGTTCTCACCTCTTTTTATCAACTTTTGGGGCGCTAGATGCCTCGCCAACTGTTTCAGCATTAACGGCTTCTTGTACAGGTCGCGCTTCGGTAGACACGTCGTGAATTATCCGAACTTCAGTGCTTTTATCAAGTCAAGTTTTCGTACCTTGTGAAGAAGATTAGCGAGAACGCCAGCAGGGGGCACGAGGGTCTTCAGGGTCTCCTCATTCATGCACAACCGAACCTGTTCAGCTTTGGAAGTTAAAAAGTAAACAGTTAAGAAAGGAAAATTAAAGTTTTTAAAGCTAAACTTTCAGGCCTTAATTAATATAATGCGAAGTAAAAACGTCAACGTGTTCCGTTATTTCGCGCCAAAAGTGCATTTTCAGTTGGGAACTTTTGTTAGATGGGGAATCAAAAGAAAGATGTATCAGAACACCGTTGTACGAATTGTAGGTTCGTGTCACAGTATATGAGGGTTTTTTTCTTTTAAAAGCAGAACATATTATTTAGTTAGGACAGGCTATTACCTTACCATAAAAATGATCGGCAAATGCCTGAATACCCCTCCTTCTTCATCCACTCTTGAACATCTCCGCAAGGAAAAATAAGTGAAGCCAGGTTTTACCCTTAAAACAGACACACTAAATAATTTAACTCTTCCGTGCAGAATCTACAGACGGTGAAATGGACGGCTACTGCTTCGCTGTGCGTGAATATATGAACAGCACGCAACGTTGAACAAGACACGAAACCTTTCCGCTTTTCTCTGATTGGACAAAACATTACTTGATAAGTACCGTCTTGAAAGGAATGTTCACAATGCAATCAAAGGGATTAATGAAACCGTGAGAACGTTTTAGAACTGAGTTGTGATTGGTCGTATCCGCACACAAAACATTCCGATGTTGGTTCGCTTGCCGACGTTGATAGACGCGTTTCAATAAAACTTACAAGATCACTTTCGCGAGCCTCACGCAGCATACAAATATAATATTGACTGGAGTAAAGCAAATGCGATGTTTTCGTGATGTTTCGAAGGTTAACTCGCTCATAAGACAAATGCCGTCTTTTTAGAATATTTTAATTTTGCACAATTATCTTTGTTTTCACCTTTCCGGCGTATAAACACTGAAAGCACGTGCTTTCAATGAGTCACGGAAAGCACGTGGGGCCCTGGTAGTAGATGCTCGTGTCACGGTGTGTATGTGTATGTTTTTTTTTTTTTTTTTTAAGGGTTCTCTGCCCGTAATAAAGTACGTGCGGATAATTGTCATTATTAGATCAGTCAATTTTTAAGAAGAGGAAATTACATCATCCTTAATAAAGGATTCACATAACTTTTAGCACCAAGAAGTATAACTGCTTTCATTGCTGGAGCACTGCCACACATCTCATATTTTTTGAAAAGCAATAGACCTATTTGGTCTATGCACGTGAGCAGGGTGGTTAGTTTAAACATTTCTGACCTGGGATATGCAATTGAGAATTTCAGATTAAACTCCGTGTTAGTGTTTTGATACACGATTTGGTGTAAAATAACACTCCAGTTGTGTTAAGTTCTTGCAAGATTTCTGAAACACAGACGTAGTGTAACTTTACACCGCCAACGTGTGCCACATTTCTTGATTACACCATTTTAGTGTTTTCATACACTGAATTGGTGTATCTTTTAAGAAACACTCGGCAAGTGTTATGATAACACTAATTCAGTGTTAATGTATATCTCCCTTGGTGTTAATTTACAACCTCGAATTTGCTGTGTGTTGAAAGTAATTATTCGTCTGTTAGTCTTTCTCTCTCCAACTTTTCCAATAAAAAATTAATGAAAAGGGGAGGTGGTCCCCAAAATTGAAGCTGTCGAGAACAAGAATTTGAAACTTTTTTTTTTAAATATTATTAGTATTTTTTTCCTGGCCTTAAAAACTAACTTCTCGATCGATCACGCTAGGCCGGCAGGATAAACTGGACTTGCTAATTTGGCAGTAAAAAAAGCGGACATGTTTTTAGCTCATTTTTATTTTTTGTAGCGGATGTCTTGCGCGAAGAAACTTTTAGAACTAAAGTTAGTCTTGCCACCCGGACTTTTGGAGAAACAACAACAACAACAAAGCCGATTCTTTCTTTCGAATTCATTTTAGTGTCTACATTGACCGTTTTCATACTAGGGACGGATTATCCATCTTTTTTTTTTCCGTCAAAGTTATTATAGGCGGAAAAAACTTCACAGATGCATAAAAACAGGCGTATTGTCCATCTTAAATTAAGACCGTTCCATTTTTAGCATCCCACGCAGCCGGGTTTGTCATGCGTTCCTGCCCTAAGAACGTCTGCGTAGGAGGCTATTCCAGTTTCAAATTAAGTAAATTATCTGTCTGACGAGAATTATCCAACTGATAACTCGTCTCAGACGGATAATACGTCTCCAGTTCGCCCATTGACGTAGATAACAGAGAAAGAGCTAGAAGCGAGAGATAAAAAACAAAGGATATCAATTTCGTAGGAATAAAAACATTCAATTTTTTAAAGCCACCATTAGAAAATGAGAAATGCTAACGGCGACCGAGGTGAAAATTAACGGCAGCCAAAAAAAGTGAACAAGAGCACTTGCAACATTACCTGCATAAAACGTGTAACTAGAAAGTTTATGGAAGTTCCTGGAAGTAGTCGTGCAAAACAACGGCAGAGAAATGTACAAAAAAGTCTCCTGCAAGTGCAAAGTCTGTTTTTCCTAATTACTGACCAACTGATCTTTTTGGCTGTTTTCATTTCCGTCGCCGCTTAACATTACACCATTTTATTTTTTTTGTGTTTGAGTAAAGATTTTAACGAGAGCTTCGCTTTTAGCCCCGGCTAAATCTATATACTAGTAATAACCAAAGGTTATAGAGTGCGGGCGACGACGATCGGCGGTTCAAACACAGTTAAACGCTTTTGCTCCAACGCCGTGCTTTTGCGTATGTTTAATTTGATACTAAGTGTCAAACTAAACATACGCAAAAACACAGCGTTGGAGCAAAAGCGTTTAATTGTGTTTGAACCGGCGATCGTCGTCGCCCGCACCCGTAACCTTTCTATTCTACTAAGAATGGAATGCACAACTGAACGGAATTTGATCAGGCGCGTTTCGACCTTCTACGCCTCGTAATCTGATCACGTGTGTTTTGACCATCGGATGGTCAAGACACACGTGATCAGATTACGAGGGGTAGAAGGTGGAAACGTGCCTGATCAAATTGCGTTCAGTTGTGCATTCCATTCGTTCTTAGCAGAAGTCCAAACAAAAGTTGGCTACAAACTTTCTACATGCATGCGACGCATGCGCAACAACAACCTGGAGATTAGGATTGCGGGTTCCTCTTGTCGCCGGCAGTTAGGAAATAATATATAGATTTAGCCAGAGCTAAAAGCGAAGCTCTTTTTAATATTTATAGTTTCCTCAAAGACATATAAAATTGAGTAATACTAAACACAAGGTGGAAAAAAAAACAACAACAACAACTTTGTACGTGCAGCACACTTTTTATTCTAATTAGCAAAAAAAAAAAAGCTTTTTTTTACATTTCGTTGCAGTTGTTTTGCACCACTAAAATGTGAAACTTCTTTTAACTTCCTAGTTACACGTTTTATGGAGGAAATGTTTGTGTTCCTGTTCACCCTGTTTTTTACTGCCGCTCATTTTTACCTAGGCAGCCCCTAGCGTTTCTCATTTGCTCAGTACCGCTATATAATTTTCATGTTTTTCTACCAACGAAATTGGTCTCCGTTTTTATTTATTTCTCGCTCTAGCTCTTTCCCAGTTGTCGAAGTTAATGTAGAAATTAAATTCAGTGGAAAGAAAAACTCGTTAAGTCCGGACGGCCATGTGATTTACCCCTGAAACGAGCGGGATGCTTGAAATGCGAAATTTCTCACCTCAGCTGTATCATAATCCCCCCTTCTCCCCCCCGGACTGACTCCTGTCTCCCTTCCTCCTCCGCCAGGGTCTGTACGGTTAGAGTACGCTGACGTCACAACCAAATTTTCTTGGATGGATAGAGTACCAGATTTTCTTATCCATGGGGCTCCGTTCACTCGTGGAGTTTCGCTGTAAGTGCATGCAAGCATGAATATGAAATCCACTATAAGCAACATCCCCGTCTACTTCGAGAGGAGAACATAGAATATAGACCCCGCCCAACAAAAAAGAAGAGAGAAAGAAAGAAAGAAAGAAAGAAAGAAAAAAGCTGTCCAGTTTCCCTCCTACTACTGATTCCGTTTACCCTGCAACTTCTGCAACTTGAAATCTTAGTGACGGACCTGAATGCAACCAGTTTCGAAAGAAGTAAAACTCTCATGTTCAACAAAGTACATAGGGTCTTGTAAACCCCCAACATGAAAAAAGAAAGAAAAATATATCTTTCTTACCCGTCACCTTGCCTACTGCTGCTTTCGTCCCTTTTTTCGTCGCTAAAGCTTTGTTCTGTTACAGAGCAAAACACATATATTATTTTAGCTCACATGCAGAAAGATTATACCGAACAAAGTCAAAAACACTAAACCCATGAAACAGCCTATATTTCTCTTTTAACTTTTTTAAGCGTCACAATTCTTATAAGCCACCAACTCGTGCGTTACCTTGATACCGCGCGCGCACTTTCCATGATTAAAAGGACCCTATTTTGTAGTGTATTGCCTTACCAGGGGTAATAACCTCATCAGATGGGGAAACCACATGCAGCTCAAGGGGGTTTTCCTCTGCCATAACGTACCTGAAAATTGCAAAACAATCTCAGTAAAGTTACCAACCTTGGCCCCAGGGCGCTTTTCCCTGGCTTGAGGGAATAGCGCACTGGGGACGACGTTGTAAAGTTACCATAAATTGAGGAACAAAGCATTGTAACTTGTTTTGCCAAGTATCGTTGGATAACGAGCGCCTTTCACCGCCTTCGTTGCATGTTCTAGGCGTTCGCCTGCAACAGGCTACCACCTTCGAATCAAACTTAACATGCAACGAGGCCGTGGCGTGGTGTGAAAGGTTGCTGAAACATGGGAGAGCATTTCTTTTTTTTTTGAGGGGGGGGGGGGTCCACCCGTAACAACCTGATGTGATGCAGTTGGCACCTTTGATTCAAGTGGGATAAAACGCGCTAAATCGTATTGCAAGTTGCACATTTTGTTGTCCTTTTTTCCGTAGCGAACAATAGAGATTCAAACAGGACTAAACAAAAAGAAAAACAAGACTGGGAAAGTCAAATTACCCTTACACATTCAACTCAGATTTGATTTGATTGTGTAAACCTCCCTTGCACACAGCAAGGAACAGATGCTGAATCCAGTCATGGATATACCGTTTTCAAGAATTTAACTTACTGGAGGGTTGAGCTGAGAGGATCTTCACATGTACAAAAGCTAAAAATAATGAGTCAAATTTGTTCAACTATTTTGCATCCGGTTCTGAGCTAAATCGAAGCTCAGAAATAACTCAGAAGGGCGGAAAATCACACACAAGACAAAAAATTCAAAAATATATAGGGGCTGGGTTAAAATATCAAGTAAACATCCAGTAGCAGTGACCTTCCTTGCCACCATAAATTTGGGAAATATCCGCTTCCAAAATATAATAGGAAAGATACAGCACGTCTGTTCTGAAATAATTTGTAATAATTGTCCTAATTTGTTATAATGTTGTCGTCTAGAGTAATACAACTGTACCTGTCAATTTGTAAGAAATTTTCCGTAATTTGTAATTATTTGTAACAACACTTCGTCGCGTAATTTGTAATAAGCAAAGCCGTCGTAATTTGTAATAAAACTTTGGTAAACCGGACCCGGGACGCGACAAGTTTTGGTCTTTGGTAACATTAACAAAGTGATGAGATAAGTGTTGCACGCATGACGCAGCATTAATACCTTTTCTAGACTGCTTGGTCACTCGCGACAACAACAAACTAAAAACGACTATTTACAGAAAACCGACACATACCAACCGATTACTAGACCACTCTTAGTACAACCCATCCTCTCACAAGGCTACTACTATCCGGACTCTGACGAGACGAACGTAACTAGTTTGCGACTCACCTGACAGCCTATAAGACGAGACTGATCTTAACAACGTTTTTAGTAAGAACAATTACAACACGGACTTTTTTAGACGGAACACTCACAGTAACCCTGATTCCAACACTCAGACCAACTCTGGCCCTGTTACTACAGCGACTATACCGTACATCAGAGGCACCTCTGAAACTATTGCACGTATATTACAACCTTACAATATACGTGTTGCACACAAACCGATAACCACTTTACGGCGACTGCTTGCTGATGTCAAGGACAAAGACAAACCGGAGGACAGACAGGGAGCAGTGTACAAGATCAAATGCTGCGACTGTCAGGCTTCTTACATTGGTGAAACTGGCAGAGACCTAAGCACGCGACTGACCGAACACAAACGAGCGACGAGGAATGGTGACGTCAACAATCACATTGCTTAGCACCATAACATCAAATTGACTGGGACTCTGCGACATGTATAACGTATTCTACAGACTACTATCAACGTCTTGCTTTAGAAAGCTGGTTTACTAACTTAGAACTATCTAAGCAATAGACAACAATATGTGGAATTTAATGGTATCACTTCAGAGTCTTGCGAAATAAAGTGCGGGGTGCCTCAGGGCTCTATACTAGGCCCCCTGCTCTTTCTACTCTATATAAATGATCTGTGTAACGTGTCAAAGGTCGTGGACTTTATTCGTTTTGCTGATGACACAAACATATTTTTCTCCCACAAAGATTTTAACTTGCTTCCAGAAATCTTGAATTCTCAAATGCCTAAATTAACCAATGGTGACGAGCAAATAAACTGTCCATTAACTTTAAAAAATCATTTTTATGGTTTTTAGACCACGCCAAACTGACAACAATGTTATTGAACGTGTGGAAGAAACAGTATTTTTAGGTGTTATCCTCGATGAGCATTTGTCATGGAAACCTCACATTCTTAGCGTTTCTAGAAAAATATCAAAATCAATAGGTATTATTTATAAGTCAAGTTTTTGCCTTCCCAAAACTTCCTTGCGCTCCTTGTACTAAAGTCTAGTTTACCCTTACTTAACTTATTGTGTTTCAGAGTGAGGATCGACATATCAGTCTAATTTAAATCGGATTATTATTCTGCAAAAGAAGATAATCAGAATAATATCTAAAGTTTCTTTTGATGTTCATACCGGTGTTCTTTTTAAAGACAAGGAGGTTTTACAATTCTTGGACATTTATTTATACCAAATAGGTAAATTTATTTATCTTTTTAAAGAGGCTTACTTCCAAATTATTTTCGTGATATGTTTACTCTTGCAAGCCAGATACATTCTTATAATACAAGAAATTCCAGCCTTTTCTATATACCTCATTGTCGAACTAATTTTCGAAAATTCTCAATTCGGTTTCAAGGTCCTACGTTTTTCAACTCGCTAAGTCGGGAAATTCAAAACAGTGAAAGTATCAGTTTGTTTGGCAAAAGACAAAAAATTCCTTCTTTCTTAGTTAAATTGACTCTTTGTTGAGCTACACACCTTTTCTTTTCTTTTTTCTCTTTTTTCTTTTTTTTTTTTTTTAAACTGAATCCAAATTTTCATTCAGTACCCTTAACTTGTATGGTTTACCCTATAGTTCCAGGAAGCCCATAGTTTATAAGCCCCCGGCTTCTATATAGGCTTCCTTGCCTTTACCACATTTGATCTTGTAAATAACTTAGTTGGAATATTGTATAATATTATTATATATATTATATAGATTTAGCCAGGGCTAAAAGCGAAGCTTCCATTTATAAATTTATACTTTAAATCAAACAATAAACTTGTAATCCACAAATCAGTTAACTTAAGGGCACGTTCATGTGACTTTTGAGGGAAAGGATAAGTTTTTCTAGAGTGAAACATCTTACATCGAGTTGATAGCCTAAATGTATGTACACCCAAAAAATAGCAAACATCTTCTATCACATTCAAGAGCCATAATGGCTCTTGATCACAGTAGATTAGGCCTCGAAAACAAATTCTTGGAAAACAAAACAGGCCGCATTTTTTTACGTTCGACAGGTTTACTTTACAAATTCTTGCCAACAAATCTGAGGGTGTGTAAACCAACCTTTTATACTTTTTATATATCACATCTGAGGAAAAACAGTACTTTTTATCATACAGACCTCGGACAGAATACGGCATTTCACAATTTTTCAATTTTCAGGACGATCAATCGTGGGCTTTTAGCGAAACCGTTCAAAAAATTTCCAAAATCACCCATAGGGCCAGCCGGTTCTCATTTTTAGTGCAAGCTGTCAGTGTGGTCGAGTGTTTGAAAGAACTTTAATGAAGAAACGCTTCAACATAATAACGAATTTATTATCATTATTTTTTGTTATTTAATGGTTAAAAGTTAGAACGGTGTGTAATCTTATAAAGCGTTTGATACGCGCGACATTTCTAAGTACTCCTGCAAGCGATGTTCATGAACGATGAAAACAAACACCACGGACAAGCGATGAAAATTGCAAGAGAGACTACTAACAATCAATAAAAGAAGTATAATTCGGTAAAACATTTACAGAGACAACAATTTTCATTCACGAAGACAAGTATTAAAGTGTCTCTAAAAATCCTGAGTCTTTAAGCTTAAAGCTTAAGCTTAAGTTTATTTTGTTTTACTTTTAGCCGGCCTCCCAGTGTTTGTTTTTTGTCAAAGATGAACTCCTCGAAGCAAGAATATCACTCAAAGTTTTCTTTCTACAGCCAAATTTATAACTAAATATTATTCGAAACTTTTTTTTTCTGTTTGCCGTGAGAAAATATATCTGAAGGCCTTTTAAAGTTCGGTAAGCTTATATCAAACCTGATACTAGATCAGATCATTGACTCAAATCTTAACAAACGTGCAAAAACTTGCCGCTTAAACTGTGCTCGACTTCATGAAATTAGATATAACAAAAACAAACAACAAATACAATAATTACTCAGGCCTCCCTTTCGAGATTCAGTTCCTGAAAGATATCAAGGAAGGCCATAGTTGCTTGAGACTTTTAAACCCTCTTACGCATTGAGCAAGGTGAAAGACGAAAACGATGCCATCCGAAATCAGATTACCCAATTTTAACAAGCGACGCATTTCTCAACCAAAAATCCAATAAACAAACCAGCCATGGATAACAGAAGGCTCTTGATAGCAGCTGTATTTCATTTTGTAGATCCAGTGGAAAAAGACAGTTAAAAACATCACAAGTTGACACAAAACTCAGTCAGCTTTAGCTGTCAAAGTAAACAACCTTCAAGATGCTGCATACATTTTCCGCATGAACTCACCTGTCAAATTTTGACCACTCAGAGTACAATAATTGGACGTAGAGCGTGACCAACGCGTGACCATGGTAAGAAAAGGTCTTCCCCGCCTTTATTTTTAAAAAAGTGGCTGAATTTTCGCGTCTGAGGTCAGTTTGAAATCAAAATCTTAACAGTGCGGGACCATAGTGACATAAACACAACATATTTCATATGAATCATTAAAAAAAATAGACTTGAGCCTGCGATCATTTGAAACTGGCAATTTGTCAGCGGATAACTTCAAAAAAGTATTCGACCTCGATGGGTCGATACTTGAGCTCGCGGTACGGTCAAATGATACTGGTCAGCGGATATCCTTTTTTGACAGCTGTCAATTGATCACAACATTGACGTGCAATTAGTTTTCTATTGGGCTCCCAAAGTGTGAGAGTAAACATTGGTTTCGCTGTGGTGCGGACGGACGGTCGGGCGTACGGTCACGTGATTACCAAATTTTCTCGAATAGGTAGATTACCACATTTCCTTAGCTATGGGGCTTCGTCCACGCGCGCGCTTCGCGCGCGGGTGGAGCTCCGCTATTATCTTCAATGTATTTCTGTATACTGTTGTTGCATTTCTGGTTAATGGCAAAATAAAATGAATGAATGAAGGAGAACAAACACCACTGAATCGTAGCCAACAGTTACCAGCCCCGTGCAAACGACTTATTGACGAGATCAAGCAAAAATAACTACCAGAGAACGACTGGAGAACTGACAATAGACGACTGTTTAACTGTGACAACATACGGATCGAAACGCACCAATACTGATTAAGAGTCTTCATAGCCAATAACATCACGGCTGAACTGAAAGATGACCAATAACGTCGCGACGTAAATGACCAATCAGATCAATAACCAGAGTATAAACCATCAACTGACGTGATACAACTCACTTTGACTCTGAAGATGACTACAGCACAGGTTGTCGAAACGTCAGTCACTGTCAACAACAACAGTCCTGTTCAGGACTACGTTCACCCGGACGATCAAACTCAACCTACTTTTAATGGTTACTGCTGCGAAGTTGAGTGAGGGGCATGGCCCCGTCCTCGCTGGGAGCTGTGAAGTATAGGAGCCAAGTTCTTAGGACCTATTTTACCCAAATGCATGACCCAGAAAAAATTTAAAGAAAAGCTGTGTATACTTAAGTCATACTTTTCCATAATGATATATTTATTACTCATTTTCCTTGTTAGAATAGGATCGGATCACAACTTCCTTTTTTTAAAATCTGCTTGTTTCTATTTTAGTAAACCTCTAAGCGGTTGCAGGCTGTAGGAAGTGTTTCTAGTTGTAAAACATAGACACTATTGCAGTCCTTTTTACCCATTTTGGAGAATTAATTTTGGTGCTAGCAGTAATTAGTTGTACCAGAATCGTATGGCTGCTTTTAAGCCGTTTGATGCAAGCTAATACATGTAATGCTCACATGATGATGAGGTTTCCGATTTGCTTTTTATGTTACAGGCAGAACTTCTTTAGTTCGTCGGCAAAACTGTTGCTTTTCTGCGTTAGTAATAATTTACAAGAATTTGTGTCACCTTTCAGCCGTTTCAATTCCCCCACTAAAAGGATAGGTCCGAAGCAATAGGCTTCCGATATCCAAAAACCCTCTCTTTCAAAATGAGGCTAGGTGCACAACCTCTCTTGTGAAAACGAGTTTTCCTTGCATGAGAATGAAAAATGATTTCCATATCAAAGGCGGAGCACCTTTCCTTCGTTTTGAAACAGAGGCCCGGGGAAAATCGGAAATGGGCTATTGCAACCCTCGTTTACTCACGCAATGATAAAACCCGGATACTATTTGTTGTCCCTCCAAAACATCGGGGCAATTGTAAGTTCCATTATTAGAAATTAAAAAGAATACTTATGCAAAATTTTAGAGAGACAACAAATAGTATGATGGTATTTTTTAAAAGAGGCGTATGTAAATCACGTCACAGTTGTATCTGAACGTGCTCGTTTTCACGCAAAGCAGCACAATGTGTGTTAAAATAGCGAATGACTAATTACTAATTTGTTTTTGAAGAAGCTATAAACAGCTACATGTTTACTGTCCCTATTAAAGACTCTTCTCCTTCATGTTTATTTTTATCTTTATTTTTCACTGTAATAAACAGGTTCTTGTTACTGAATGATAAGAATGATACTGAGCGTAAAACGAATTTTGACAATAATTTCCTGATCGAAAATAGGTTATAATGAACCAGCATTTATATGAACCATTTCCAGAATTACGTGAACGTCGCAGCTCTTACTTGCCACCGAAAGAAAAAAAATTCAACCAGACCACATTCTAAACATCTTTATCCATAGACCAAATAAGACCTATTTTTTTTTCTTAGAAGAAAGGATGAAATTGCTGAATGATAACAAGTTTTCGAGTTTATGTCTCCTGATATGGCGAGACTCGTTAAAGAACGTCAACTGACAATCCAGCTTTCTTTTCATTTAAGAGACAACTAAACTTTGTGGTGCCTACCTACAGCTGCGTATTTTTTTTCCTGATCATTTAATTGGAATTAGTTTTATTCCTCTTCAATTGATATTTTACCCTGCTTCTTCATAAACCCCTCTTCAAAACAACAACAAAACAAACAAACTAACATCAAAACTTTAAATCTCCAAGGAATTCAAGCATCCCTACCTTCTTAAGTTTCATCCCGGTCTAAGACGAGAGACGATTCAGCCTGTGCTTACAACAAAGTGAGTCAGTGTGGCAGAGCACTTGATATTTATAACATCCCCGCTTAGTTTCAAATGGAGAGATGGCAGGATGTGCAAGCTGGTCAATGCCATGCAAATGTAATACATTAATCAAGGCTATTGGAAGGCTGTAAAAGATTGTAGGCTATTTTTGAAAGAAAATTAATGTAATGTCGGATTAGTCATAACAACGAATTCGATAACTCAAAGGCATGAACCTGCATGTTTCCAGTCTTTTTTGTCCCCAGTTTGGAGCGATTATTGTCAAGCATATCATGATGCTGTGCCAGAATCGAAAGGCAGCGTTTTGTATCGAATAATACTTAACGTAACAATCTACTTTCCCGATGTTTTATACTCTCTTTTGGCATATCATAACAGTATTATTCTGTAAATTACAAGGCCAAGTTTTTTAAGTTTTCAAAGAAACAAAACTCACCTTTCAGCTCTTTTAGGTTTTTATTAGCATGTTTGCAATCCTCGATCGCTTATTACGCACGTCACTTATTTGATTAAGGCTCAAACACGAACTTTTATGTAAATCTGTTTGAAGCATTTAATTTGCGGATGAATAATTTAAAGGCTCTCAATCTATTGGTTCCTTATTCTTCCTTGGTTTCCTTCCCATCACTCTAAACTTAAGGTCATGAAAAACTGGACAAGGTCATGGAAAAAGTTACAAGAAAAGCTCAAATGAGGGATGCATACCCTGTTTAAAAATGCACGCAAGGAGTGTCCTTTAAATAAATTTATAATAATTATAAATCTTCTTCCAGGGTGCATGCTTCCCCCCTCTCCAGATGAAACGACTTTCAGCGTATCAGCATAGATTTTCACGGGTCATTACAATGCAATGAAAAGTCCATAAACTTGCTTAGAACATTTCCATGAACCATTAATAATTCCAAGTTTAGGGGGAAGCCACACGTTTTTCATGACTCTGAGTTTCTTGTAATGCCATGGGAAACCGACGACATTTTCCTTGAACTTGTGCTGTTTGATTATAGGATTTTCATCATCATAAAACAAAAACATTAGAAATCAACACCAAACTTTAACCATGGTTTTTGCTCGGGTATAATGAATTTTTCGTGGTATCAAACCAATGGGAAACCAGAAAAATAACACTGTGAAAATGGCATGAAAAACATTTGGATATCCTGCAAATATGCCATGAATACATTCAAAGGATTTCATGGGTTATCAATTCATAGTGCTCCCCGTTCAGTTTCAAATGGAGGGATAGCAAGACGTGTAATGCACAAAAAAATCGATAAATCAATCATCGATAATGGAGGGTTGTAAACGATTACAGGATATTTTAGAAATATATTTTTAAACGTTATTTCGGATAAGTCATTACGACGAATTCGAGTAACGTGGAGGCCTGAACTTGTTTCCAATCTTTTTCACCCATTTTGGAGCCATTATTGTCAAACATATCATGATCTGCCAGAATCGAAAGGCAGCGTTTTGTACCGACTAATACATAACATAACTATCTACGTTCCCCAATATCGTTTATATTCTTTCTGTATATAATAGCAGTTTTAAGTTTTAGAAGAAACAAACTTACCTTCCAGCTGTTTTAGGTTTTGATTAGCATGTCAAGTCCAAGCTTTTACAATCCTTAGTCTTTTATTTTACGCACGTAACGTATTTAATTCAGGTTCAAACACGAACTTTTATGTAAGTCTGTGTTAAATATTCAACTTGCGAATGAATAATTTTAATGCTCACAATGTATCAGTTATTCTTTGTGGGTTTACTTTACATTACTCTAAACTTTTGTGCTTGCGATTCAATGCTTTTGATGATATTCGATCTTAAAACAGAGCTTCTGTTGACTTAAAAAAAGTAAACCGTTTGCCTTATCAATCGGATGCAAAAAATGTCATCCAACTGGGGTCATCAAAATGACGAGTGTGATCATTTAAAATGTTTTCCATCATCTTTATTTTTATTTAGACACACTTCTTACCTGTAATAAACAGGTTCTTGTTACTGAATGATGAGAATGATACTGAGCGCAAAACGAATTTTGACAACACTTTCCTGATCGAAAACATATTAATGCTGAACCAGCATTTATATGAACCATTTCCGGAATTACGTGAACGTGGCAGCTCTTACTTGCCACCGAAGGAAAAAAATCAACGAAACCACATTGAAATTAAAATTGTCTATCCGTAGACCGAATAACCTCTAAATTTTCTTAGAAGGAAGTTTGAATTGCTTCATGTTATTACAGGTTAATCGAGTTTACGTCTCGTGATATGGCGAGCTAGACTCTTACTGAAGAACGTCTACTGACAATATCCAGTTTTTATTTCATTTCAGAGATAACTAAACTACATCTTTGTGTTTCCTACATACTGCTGCTTATTTTCTTCCGATCTTGATCAAATTTGATTTGAATTAGTTTTATTTCTCTTCAATTAATATTTTACCCGGCTCCTTCAAAAACTCCTCTTTAAAACAACAAGAAAACAAACCAACCAACAAAAAGAGGTAGGGGGAGCAAAACTTTAAATAGCCATGTAATGCAAGCATCCTACCTTCTTAAGTTTGATCCAGGCCTGAGACGAGAGACGATTCAGCCTGTACTTATATTGCCCAACGAAGCGAGTCAGTGTCGCAGGACCTCCCTGTTTAGTTTCAAATAGAGAGATGGCAGGACGTGCTAGTAGTGAGCGCACCCGAAAAGAAAATGCAAATTTAATACATCAATCAATGCTATTGGAGGACTGTAAATGATTGCAGGATATTTCAGATATTTCAAAGATACCCTATGGTGGCCTAAGAAACGTGGTGGAATTTTGTTTTTAGAAATATTTTTTTGGACGCCACAAAAAAATAAAAAACGTAAGGGCCTCCCGTGGCGTGAAAAACACCAAAATTGACGTGACACATGCCTTCAAGTAAACTACGGTCTGTTTAAATAGCATCAGTTAAAGCCCTGTTTTGAGAGCAAAATGGGCTGCTTAAGTGTTTACGATGTATTTGAGCCCAGTAAGACTTATGTGAGTTAATTTTAAAGGTCACGGAGAGCCGCAAAAATCTCCGAAATTTCACTTGCTTAGAATTCTTATTTAAGCGTACTTTTTCAAGAGTCATTTTTCCTACCCGGTAAAAAGCCAAATTTTCTGAAAATAATAACTTTGATAAGAGGAAATGACGTTCGTTCTAAAACCAGGTTTAAAAAAACGGTTTTGGGCTTTTTATTGGAACCGAGTAATAACGCTCTGAAATCCTGATTAAATCAAAACATAAGCCTGTAATCCTGAACTCCGGGGGAACACCCTCCTTAACTAAATAACCAAAAACTTGGATATTTCGTCTTAGTTTTCACCAGTATGCACTTGTAAACCAAAGTAGAGAGGTGATGTTCAGCCTACTTTAACGGTAACTTTCCAAATACCGCGATCTGAGTGTATCGTTTTTCAGCCGACTTTGACATGGAGTCGATTGAAGTGCATCTGTCAACTGTCGCCCACTCAGATGTTCTATTTTTGACCCACATCCTGTTTTTAGAGCGTTCTACAAAGCAAATAACCTTAATTTTCACAGAAATTTTCCCCGAAGTCGATGCTAAACGATAATTTTTTGGCCGAAAGCGTTCACAAATCGTGCCCATTTTTTAAAAATTTAAAAATTCATGTCTCTCAATAGAAAGGTCGCACCTTATGCTATGTGACATTAGGTTCAACCCGAATATGGAGGCCTGAACGTGTTTCCAATCTTTTTTACCCATTTTGGAGCCATTATTATCAAACATATCATGATCTGCCAGAATCGAAAGGCAGCGTTTTGTACCGACTAATACATATAACCTAACTATCTACGTT